ACAGGTTATGATTTCAATAACTTTTCTCTGCCATCATCACATACATATATGTCAAACTATTGTAGACTCTTGTAGGTGCATTCAACTTGAGATAATCCATAATGCCTTTGGCACAGGTCCCTGATCCCCCTCCAATTTCATATATCTACAGAAAAAAGACAGACAGAAAGCTCTTAAAGCAAATCCTTGAATATCTGTCTAACTACAGAAAGAGAAGTTGATGAATTGATGCATAGATGTAGTCCAGAGCCATAAGCAAAGATATTTATCAATCATTCAGAACTTACAGGTAGATTGAAATTTTAGCAAGGAACTCAAAAGAAGGAAAAAAAGGAAGAGAGAGAGAGAGAGATTGTGGAATTATTGTTTAAGCATATGTTAGGTAGACTGGAGATGTCACTTCCATTTCAAATAACACAATAAGCATTACAGTGAGGAACTCATAAGACGGAAGCAAGACAATTAATACAAATTGAAGGTTACTTAGATATGTGCAACAACAAATATATTATACCAATTTGAATTCATCTGAATTGTACAATACAGCATTGTGTGGCGATATCATCAGCACAAGAAAAAGTTTGCAAGCTAACATATCGTTGCACCTGATACTCCCTTGACCTACAACCTTCCATAGCTTGGGCACCAAGCTACAAACAAGATAACTAGAAAGGTACGTAATAGAATCTAAGTATTCAGGCTCCCAGGCAACAAGTTAGTAGTTTTATACCAAATGAAGTAAACAAATAGTTCAAACTAGACCACTACTGGAGGTAATGACAAAAAATTAGATTGTAAACGAGGATTAGTATCCATGAGAAAATACCAAGCTGAAGCATGTAAGAATCGAATGACTTCCCGGGAAAGCAGCTGGACATACAGATCATCAGCACTAAATGGCCTTTCAAATAATACTGATCCTTTTTATTCTTTGCCAAAGACTTATCAAGATGTGAAATCTCAGAAATTCTAATAGGTCCAGCTGGAACCCATAAATGAATCAACTGGCAGACCGAATTTAAATAAAAGTAGGCATCCTAAACAAAGTACCAACATTTACAGAAGAACAAATGAATAATAGTAAACACTGATGCCATTAAGAGATGGTATTGACTAATCAGAAGTCAAACACTAAGGAACTTACTTTCAGAGGAACTGAAAGATTAGCAGTACGAAGAATAGATTCAGCAATTCCATGAGCATACCAAGGCTACAAAGACAAACATTTCAAGACATGAATCAAATTCTGTAGTCAGAAAGACTGTTGGGAATTTGAGACAGATATATACCTTAAAAAGCTCCGCTGGTGTGAACCATGATACCTCATTCTGCTTGTAAACTTTATCCAAAAGCTGCATATAAGCTTTTTGTCCTGAAACATTTCAGAGCTCATAATTTCATGCGAGTTTGTATATATACAAGACATTTGATAGAAGGCTCGTTAAATCGTGATGCAGACAGACCAACTATACGATTTTCTTAAATCTAAACAGCCTCAAATTTTAGAGGACAGGATGAAAACACTACGTCATGAAACAAAGCAAAACCAATGCTCAGCCAGAAAGCACAGAGTCAATGTCACTCACAGCAATAGAGGCTACTGTTGTAACTCTTCTGATGCCTATTGAAACGAGTGATAGGATCACCACATACTGATAATTTCTTATCAGAGTCTAAGAATGAAAGATCAGTCACAACATTTTGTTATCAATCATTAAGTACCTTTAAACTGACCAGTTTGGAAAGAGATGAATTTTAAGAGCAAACCAAGAAAGAAAAGAATTTTCCTCTAATGATGGGAAGCTCAAGTGATTTAAACATCAAGCCCACTACGCATGACCTCCTTCTACTTGCCTATGTTTCTTTAATACTCCATTTTCCTTGTCCTTGAACCACTATAAGGACTCTGGTTCATTAATCTAACGCCTAATAGAAAATGTTTCCACTGTGATCAAAAACAAAAACTTCAGGTTTAGATTCCAATCACTCCTTATTTTTAACCGTCTACACCCTTATTGTTTTTCTATTCAACGTGTTGGACATCCAATCATCAGTAAAAACAATAAAACAACCACAAGAAAGTGCCATTATCAGCACAAAAGACTGATAAGTCACTAAATTCCAACTCAAAATCATGACCAGATTATCAACACCATACACCAGAATCTCAAAAAAATCGCTTCAAGCTAATCAACAAACTAATCAAGAAAGAGGCTTCTGTACCTCCCAGTTTATTGAAATTAATGCTGCTCTCAAGCACCCCAACAGACCTCGATCTTTGCGAAAAATAGCCGTGCTTTGGATCATACAATGCAGCATGAATAAAATCTCTAACCTTCAAACTCAGCCACAATTAAAAAGCAACCATCTTTAGATATCCCATTTCAGAAAAAATATAATAATCCTTATGCCAAAAAACATGCAAACAAAGAAGAAAGTACATTCGAAGTTGAGAGATTACTAGGATTGGGGTATCACCAACAAAATGATGAGTGGAGAATGAAGCAGAAGACTGGAGAGGCAAAAGGGTCCCGCATGAAATCACTACCAAAGAAAACCGTGGAAGTGAATTCAAAGAGAAATTAGCAGAAAAGCAAAGACAATAGAAAGAAATGGTGACTCCCAAAAAGGAAAAAGCCAGAACAGAAAGGTTAAAGGAACTTGAAGCTAAAGGGTACCTTTTGATGAATGGAAAAGAGAGGAAAGATATCCGGGGAAGACAGAACGTCTAATGGCCATTGCTCAATCTGCTACTGCTTTACTTGGTTCTTCAAAATCTCTTGAAAATGAAAATGAAGTGATCTTCCTGAGGAGTAGGAACGAAGGAGGGAGTTTTGTGATGTGGGGTGCAGGGTTTTAGAAGGGGTTTCCGGATGGCACTTCCTAAGTAAACAGTAGGCTAGACGGTGTCGTTTTTGTCATGCATCATCATCATCTATTACTAATTTGTGAGTAATTCAAAATCAAAATAAAAGAGCCAATTTCCAAAGAAAAAAATTCTGAATTTGCAGAAGAATAAAGATGATAGTATTAAATATGGTCGATTTTATTATATTTTTAGTAGAATCCAAAAAATTATTTAACATTCTTCACTACTAGTCGATTTTATTAAATGTGGTCGATTTTATTAAATGATATTAAATGTGGTCGATTTTATTATATCTTTAACACAATCCAAAAATTAAGATATTTAACAATTCTTCTCCATCAGTCAGGGCTTTTTTCTTCGAAATTGAATTCCATTGATATATCAAAAAGAAAGATTCAGTGTAAGGCTTTTGAGATTTTAACAAAGAAGAAGATGGAGATATACCGAATTATTACGTAAATATGATTTTGCTATTAATTTATGCTATATGATGACGTCAAATATCCAATTGTTAATTTGATTTCAAAAAAAAGATTCAATTTTGAAGACAACGAATACACGAGTACAAGAGTTATTAGGGTCCTCAGGAACCACAAGAGTTGCCGGCTTTTGTGGTTTCCTGTGGAGTAACTTTAGTAATCTATCAAAAAAGTCTTCTGGCTTTTGGAGAAAAGAATACACGAGTACAATGATATGCTCTGTTGATGGACCTAACTGTGGACGTTTTTCTTTTTATCAAACCAATTGGACCGTTGTTTGAGGACTGTTGCTCACTTTTTTTTTCTTTTCATTAAAAAAAATTTGTACCATTACTCGAAATCTTAAATTTTTTCTATAAATAATTTTTTTCATTTCTCACCCTCATATTTCTTCATTTCTCATATGCTATTACTCATTTCCTTCAACCACTTATACAATTCCTCAAAGTGCTCTTATTTTCTCATTATGGATGAGAATTTTAATAGTTTTAGGAATATGTTTAATGATCCAAATATAGAAAATTCATTCTCTTCCCAAAATCAAAACCAACAAAATTTTCAAAATTACCCCAATTTTTCATTTTCTGGTATTCCACCAAATTATGCATATCCACCAAATTTGCCCAATTCCAATCATCCATCCAATTATCAAAATCCACCAGATTTTCCATATCCATTTCACATGTATCCGCCGCTTGGTTATTTTAATTAGTCAATGGGGAATCAATATACATCAGAATATTACAACCTTGGTATAGGTTGTGAAGGCTCAAAGACTCTATCAAAAGCAAGGAAGGATTCTGGTTTCGACTGCCCACAAGAAAATACAACACCAACGGAGTCAATTTCAGATTCTCAATTTTCGACTTATCTAACACAACGTGGGGTTGAAAATATTACTCCCACCAATGAATCGATGGAAGAATCTCATGGTAAAAATATGTAATATTATGTCATGGAGTTAAATTAATTTGATAGAGTACTATTAATTAAGTATGAATTATTATGATATCTTCACATTTAAGGTGTCATGTATTTGTTTAATAATTACGTAAAAATATTAATATTTTTGAGGGATAGAAAAATATATATTATTGAAAATCACAAATGAATGATATTAGTTTTTAGAAAATAAAAAATTCGAAAGGTAAAAAATTTAATGAAAGTTAATAATTTATTTTTCAAAAAAATGTAATTATTTTAAAAAATTAATCTCATGTATTTATGAGTGATTAGAGATGTGCATTATAAAAATAAATGTTTGATTTGATTGTGGGGTCATGTTATTATACTCTGTTAAGTGTAATTCATTGCGAATAAAAGTGTAATAAGAGTGAAAATAGTAGAATGTTGACATGATATGTGGATTACACTCTAGAGAGTGTAAACCACTGTGGATATCCTAAATTTGCTGCAACCATAGGGCCAAAAAATATGAAAAATTAAAAAAATGAGTAATAAAAACCATTAAAAATTTTGTTGATTTAGGTAATGCTTTTGTCCTACATGCCTTCTAACAAAGCAAGAATTGGTTGTTTAAGCTATTGAAAAGGGAAAACGTAATTTGACAAAATTGAGAGAGAGATCAATCATCAAAGAACTAAACAAAAAAAATGAAGAAGAAGAAGAAGAAGAGGAGGAGGAGGAGGACAAATGTTCAAAAGTAATTGCACAAGCTGAGGAAGAATGCAATAATCTTGATTCTTAAGTCATGAGCTATAACACTTCTGAAAGATGCAATGTCCTTGCAAGGTTTCTGCTGTATTTGCTCGCTTCTCCCGTACTAGATAACCAATCCTGTCTAAGCTACAAATTGACTAGAAAATAATTGGAACAATACAGAGAAGATTAGCATGGCCTCTGCGCAAGAATGACTATAAAATAATAGTTACCACACTAATCCAATTTCTAAGCTATAGTTCGGCTACTAAAGAATCGTCGAGTTCTGAGTAATTGGAAACCGAACCAAGCCATAGAAGTACCTGCATCTGCAAAGCACAAAACACAAAAAATGGCGAGGATTGTTCATGAGGTTACTTCAATGCTCAAGTTGGTATTTTTTATATCAAACTTTTTCAAGTTGGTATTTTTTATCGTCGAACTTTTTTTAAAAAAAATTTTTGCACGTCATTTTTTACACTATCCTATATTACAATTGCGTTAACACTGTTACCATTCGATGATCTGATATAAACTATTACAAAAACAACAACAACCTGTCAGGGATTTTCCAAATTCATTTGACCATTTGGTTCCTTCGTGCACCCTTTGTGTCTTAATTCTTGTTTCTTTCTTGTCCTTCCTTTTCAAGCAAGGCCTTTATTTTGTTGCATGTAGTTACTAACGCCCTCTAGGATCAGCAAATGCTATCAAACTACTTTTACACGTGGAGAAGTTGGAGTCTATTTGAAAGGCGTGTTTTTTGGATGTTTATATAAAGTTTTACTGTAATTTACTATAGAGTCAGTGAAATTTTTTTTTATGTATTTGAGAATTGAAAAAATAATTTTTCTTTTTCTTTTTCTTGTCCTTTTCCGTTTCTTTTTCCTTTCTTCTTCCTCCCTCCCAACTGCCACCGCCTCACCCTCCTCGCCAGTGCCGGCAACTCTTTTTTTTTTTTCCTTTCTTTCTTTCCTCCCTCCCTCTCTCTTTCCCTCCTCCTCCCTCTTTCTTTTTCTTCCCTCTCCCTCCTCTTCTTTTCCCCTCCTCCCCCCCCCTTCCCCGCAACCCCCCTCCCCTACTCCTCGTGTGATCAGTAGGAAGGGGGAGGGGAGGTTCCGAGGGAAGGAAGGAGGAGGAGGGGGAAAGGAGAGGAGGAGGAGGGAGGGAGGAAAGAAAGAAAAGAAAAAGAAAAAAAACTATCGCCGACACCGGTACGGTGACAAGCAACAGTGCCGGCGGTGCAAGTGGTGGTAAATTGAGGTGTGGGAAGAAAGAAGGGAAAATTTTTTGTGTGTTTGGGTATTTGAGGTGTATATTTAAAAAATTTTCGTGAGATTACTGTAGTTAAAGTTGTTACAAAATTTGTAAAAGAAAAACTTGGTTCCAAACAGATTATTAGTTTAGTAGCCTCCAAATTCTCTAAAGAGAAGAAAGAAGAAAATTTAGTTTAGTAGCCTCCAAATTCTCTGAAGAGAAGATGGAAGAAAAAGCCTTTGCGAAGCTTAGACAAAAAATAGTTCAATTCCATAGATGCATAGCAAGAAGATTGGACTAATTCTGGAATATATTGGACCATTATTTTTTTTAAAATAACACCAATTCAAGTGAGTCTGTACATTTAGGGGCCTTAAAATTTGCAAAAAGCTAGTTGCATTCTATACGTACAGATTGTCAACTATGATGGAAAAAAAGAGGTGAAAGTGATCTAATCAAAATCTGCAAATGCACCAGTTTTCCTCATTTTTGTTTTTGGCTTATCAAGCAATATAAGCACAGGCCCAATTTCTTATCATAACTTGATTAAGTACCCCAGGTTTAAGTGTAATTAACATCTATACTAGTAATATTTCATGGTTTGCAAATGGTTTGTTTTGATTTCATTGATAATTGCAGTTTAGATTTAGGCCGTTAACCGATAAATAGCATGTTATTGCTTAAATTATTTCATAGTCGGAGTTAAAGGCATAACTGTTGAAATTGCCTACCATTCATACCAACTTTCGTACTGTTTCCATATTGATTGGCTACTTCGCTAGGGTGGGGAAGGGGGCTCTTCTAGGGTTAGGTCGTATGACTAATCCCATTCTTAGGAATTACGGTGCGCAGATGAAATTGAAGCCTGAGAACTAAAGTCTGAAAAAAAAAAAAAAAAAAACTAAAGTCTGAAATCTAAAATTTGTAATCTGAATTCGTTAAATTATTGAATTGTTAGGTACTAAATCTGATACATTTGAGTGCATATCATATTAAGTGATAAGTGAAAACTTATTACTTATTTTTTTAGAGCAAATTTTGCCTAAATAATTCATTCCAACTTAGTTAATTTAAATGTTCTATTATTTGTTATCAAGCACGCGTTTAAATACGTTAAAATCTAAACTTATTAAGTTTAAATATTGAATTGAATTATCAAATACGGAAGAAAATAACAAAGATAAGCCAAGTCATAAACAACTAAAATTCGTGAGCAATAAAGCAAGCTCTATGGTGAAACTTAAGTTTAAAAATATCCATCCCTAGAACTAGATAATCAGCACTTGTAGGAGTATATGTGATCTCATCAAAATCTGCAAATGCACCAATTTTTCTCTCTTTTGTTCTTGGGTTATCAAGCAATATAAACACAGGCCTAAATTCTTATCATTAACTTGATTAAGTACCCCAGGTCTAAGTGTGATTAACCTCTACACTAGTAATGTTTCATGGTCTGCAAATGATTTGTTTAGATTTCATTTTGATAATTGCAGTTTAGATTTAGCAAGCCCTCTGGTTAAACTTAAGTTTAAAATACCTATCTCTAGAACTAAATAATTAGTGCTTCTAGGAGTACTATGTACACACAAATTTGTTTAGTACTGCATAATTGAGCTAATCATAGAATCATTTTACCAAAAAGGTCAAGCACTCTAGCTCATAGGTTCCTTCTTCACATGAGGTCTCATTCATAGAGATAAGGTTCTATATTCCTCTCTAAACAATACCCATTTGTTAATCATGCAATTAGTACTATCAAATCTCTCTCTTCTACTTGTCATCAAAAAAAAAAATCCCTCTCTTCTACTTTTCTCCTAGTTCTCCATTTTTGACTTCTCCCTCTATTTCTCACATACTATAATGCATAAAAAGGCAAGCATTTTGGTTGTATGATGAGAAAAAAGTGTTCCATTTTGAGTGATACTTAATTCAGCCATAATTGACCTATCAACCTTTGATTAAATTGTCGCCTTGTATCTTACAACGAAATAATGTGAGTTCTTACAAAACAAAACACAGTCTATTTAACTCTGATTTCTCATTGAATTTGTTGCATAGCGCTTTGAATACTTCTTTTTTTTTGGTAAATCGTATTGTTCTTCTTTTTTTTATTATTTTTAAATATTTATTTTTCTTTTCTTGAAATTTTTTTCTAGTGTTTTGTGTTTGGTTAGGAGATTATTTGGGATAACTTTTTGAAAAAAATACTGTAGTACTTTTTTGATGTAATATATATAAAATAAAAAGGTGATTGAAAAATATATTAATATCTAATGTAAATAAATTAATATGTATAAATAATGTGTAAATAACTTACTATCCAAACAGACTAATCTCGTTTGTTTTGATATCTCATCATAGCCCTATTTTTTTCCCAATAATAATAAGAAAAGAAATAGTGCCAACATGTCCTGCCATGCCTAGTTCCTAACAGCCACAGACAAGTACAGACAAAGAAACAACACATAGTCACATAGTAACCCCCCAAAAAGCAGAAACTGATGAGTTATGAGTTAAAAAAATACCGAACTCCAAAAGCAAAGAAAACAGTACCCAACAATACTTCGCTGTCCGGTCCTGACTCCTTCCTCTACTCTTTCAGCTCCTTCCTCTTCTCTTCTCCTTCTTTCTTCTTCTTCTTCTTCTCCCCATTCCTCCCCTTCTTTCTCTCTCACACACAACACACACCATCTCCAATCTTCCACTTCTCAAACTCACCTGAAATATCCTTTCTGGGTTTTGAACTTTGGCTAGAAGGGTCCTTCCCAGTGGTTTCCATTTCTCATTTCGTGGAAAAAAATGTACTCTTCGGCTAGGATGCCGATAGTACAGACGCTGCCGTTGGAGGCGGCTAGCGGCGGTGGCGCCGGTGGAGCTGGAGCTGGAGCAGGAGGCGGGGACTATCACATCCATCATCATCACCATCACGGAGGGCCCGGCATGTCTTTAGATGGGACCAACTTGCCTGGGGATGCGTGCCTTGTGCTCACCACTGACCCCAAGCCCCGCCTCCGATGGACCGCGGAGCTCCATGAAAGATTTATTGACGCTGTCACTCAGCTCGGTGGCCCTGATAGTCCGTACCGTCCCCTTGCCTTTCTTTGCTTAAAATTCTGTTACTGGTTTTTTCTTTTGCTGAGAACATTTGTTTAGAAATGAATTTTTTGTGTTTCAAAAATACTCTTTTTTTTCTAAGAGTTTATCTTGATATGAGTAGGAACGGCTTTCTGAATTATGTGGTAATTCGTGCATGAGCTGTTGTACTTGGTCAAATGTAATGAATTTCTGATAATACGTGTGTGCTGTGCATTTTGTTATTCTGGGCATGATCTTATGACTGTATGATCTTAATGCTACCTTTAGTTGTGCGGTAAATTTGTGATTAACTATTCAAGAAATGGTAAAACAATTGTCTTATGGGATGCCTTTAAGGTGATAAAGAGCTTATCTTTTTAATGACCTTGAAACTCATAAAGTGTGGGTTCAAGTTCGGTAAATTACACTTAAATATGATTATCTTCATTATTGTCACCATAGTGGTTGATGTTGATTGATGTCCTATATTCACTAAGTTGGGGTCAAACTTCTCTTTTTCTCTGAATAGTGGCATTTGTTTTTTATAAGTATGATTAGGACAAGACATAGCTATGGACTTCATGATTACCTATCAATTTCTTCCATATCCTTTTTGTTTTTCTTAATTTTGACATTTTCTTTTGACTCGTGTCAAGATCATAATTATGGAATCATAAAATAAGTTTTCTCTTGGCCTCTCCTTTGTTACTAGTAGGAAAAATCATTCAAAATGTCCCATCAGATTATCTTTTTTATTCTTCAATGGACCGTTAAAATATATTGTTTTAAAATATTTTTCATAGCATTTTTAAGAGTGGTCACTTCTTATGAATTTGTGGAGTGGACACAAAAGAAACAGAAGTTAGTCAAATGGGCAAATTATGTTGTCTCCATGTATGCATATGTAATTCTATTTGGGTTCTATTAGTAGACAAATTAGTATGACAGCTGGACTTTGTCATTGCACTTGAAGAATATTCTGGTGCTGTAAGTTCAATATATGGTCAATCAAAAGGTTTATAAACAGATTGTGGCTGTGGCTGTGGCTGTATTAGAGTCCCTGCTACGATTGCAACTATAGATGTTTGCTTCCATCATAAGAAACCTTATAGAACTGCCAATGCTAGTAAACCTGATTTTCATTTTAGCCAATTAAAATTTAATAAACTAATCATTGGATAATAATCCACACTTAGACAAATCTTCCTACCGCTTTCTGTCGCTTAACCTGAAAACTTGAGAATACTTTTCACAGTATTGTATTATGTGAAGATTCTTGTCTGATGGATATTTTTCTGAGAAGTGGCTTGTATTGGTATATAGTTTGAATGTCTCAATATAGAACATTTATGATAGTGTCAAAAAAGGAATGCTACAAGTGATTTGAACTGTCTTTAAGGATTCTAATAGCTGTGAATTTGGATTTTGAAAGATAGAAAGTAGCTCTTGGAATATTTACACACCTTGAAATATAAGCTGAATAATCCCAAGCAATTGTCTAAAAGCTGTAGACTATTTTGTGTAGCTATAATACTTTCAAGTATTGTATCCATTACTTCCCCCAAGCTGATTCTATGGCCTTATATGTACCCTTACATGGATATATCAATAAAAGTTATACCTTATGATGGCATGTTTTGTTGTTCTTCATCTGTGGGTGGCATTAACTTCCTTGTCTGATGGTTAATTTTTGTTCAAAAACATTTTTCTGCATGAATAAGCTCGTCTTGATATTAATCCATTCCACTTTCCAGAGGCCACACCAAAAACAATTATGAGAACAATGGGAGTCAAAGGCCTTACGCTGTATCATTTGAAGTCTCATCTTCAGGTATGGATCCGTCGCTTCCCTCTCCGATCCCACCAAAAAAAAAAGGAAAGAAATGAGAATGTAAAAAGGAAAAACTTCTAAGACTTCCTATGTGCATTTCAAAAATTGATCTAATACATATACAGTTCTTCTAGGCAATACAACATTGGAATCCTACCTGATCTTTGAAGGGAGAAGTTTAAGAGTTTTCCCTGTCAATTTCTCATGGAATCCTGTTTTCTATTTTTTCTTTTTGCAGAAATACCGCCTTGGAAAGCAAGCTTGCAAGGAGACAACTGAAAACTCTAAAGATGGTAATGGTTGAACTTTGACCCTTTTTAACCTGGATCTCTTTTGAAATTCTCTATCCTGCTTTTGCATCATGATGTGTATTATAATAGATATACTGTTAAAACATACCAATAAAGTGTATTTTAGACAAACTACTATGTTGGCATCAGAGGCCAGCGGTCAGGATGTCAAACCTACAAAAGTATACAAAATAAAAGGGAATTAAGTGGTTTTACAAAGAAGTTCCATTATCAATCTCTTTTGGGTTTGGCTGCTTTTTATCTTCCCCTTCAGATTATTTGTTCATTCAACAGTATTATGTTCTTCGAAAACTTTCTAACTTGTATGTCTGTGAGTTTGTTTGACTGCTGTGGGATTTTTCTTGGGGGTGGGTTTTTTTGTTTTTTTTTTTTGGGGGGGGGTGGGGGGGTGGGGAGGTGTGTGTGGGGTGGGAACACCATATTTCAATTGTCAGAAAGTGCAGAAAGAGATTGTGACTAAAGAACTCTCCCAACAATGATACCTTGCAGATCAAAGAGATCAGAAGGCTAAAACTACTGTTCTACATATTTTTATTCAAATCCACAGGATTATCCAACTTTTTATTTCTGAGGAAGGAAAATATTTGAAAGAGTTCTTGAAAACCCTGTTTTAGGATTATTTAGTGAGCTATGGTACCATAAAAAGGGTAGGTCTATAACTTGTAGGATTTCTAACACTGAACTTGTGTCATAATCATGAATTTCATGCTCTGGAAGTCCATTCCTCCTCTGCCTCTTTGTATTGGATTTGTGGTCTGGGATAGACTTCAATAAATGGTGTCTACTAAGCAAATACGCTATTTAGCAGCAAATGAAAATTGTTAGAATGGATAACTTTAAGGAAATGAACTTGGATAATCTTGATAATACATATTATCATTTGTCTCAGAAAAAGCACTTGAAGTGGTCCAAGTGTTGATATTAAATTGTTGGTTTTGCAGCATCTTGCGTTGCTGAAAGTCAGGACACTGGTTCTTCTACATGTGCTTCATCAAGAATGATTGCGCAAGATATCAATGAGTATGTTGCATTTCTTACTCCTTTCTTCCACCAGTTTTACGTACTACATCATGTTTCACCAGTCTTCCGTCTCTTTGATCAGTGGCTACCAGGTTACGGAGGCTTTGCGTGTGCAGATGGAAGTGCAGCGAAGACTGCATGAACAGCTCGAGGTTAGTCAGAGGTTTTGTTCTGTATCTACGCCATTAACCTGATCATTTACTTCCATTTGTTAAAACAGTTGCTTCCTATTGCACTCACATGCTAATTGCATGTGAGAATTTCCTTCTTTGCACCCTTTTCAGAAAATTGAGTAATGCTATTGGAGTTTCATAATTACTTCTCTTTAGGATAATGCAATAGGCTAAATGCATTATATACTCAATACCATAGATAAGCACATATGCGCATAATTCTTTTGGCAATTTCTATTTCGTAAAACTTGGTTTCTGATTCTAGATGTCTTTCCAACTTTAACCTGTTCAATCAGGTTCAGCGGCGTCTTCAGTTACGCATTGAAGCACAGGGAAAATACCTGCAGTCAATCCTTGAAAAAGCTTGTAAAGCCCTTAATGATCATGCTGTGGCATCCGCAGGGCTAGAAGCAGCTAGGGAGGAGCTATCTGAGTTGGCAATCAAGGTTGCTTCTGATTGTCAGGGTATGACATCTGTTCCTCCTCTATCTGAAGTTGCTGCAGGAATGGAAAACAAAACCCCTTCCAATTTGCCTGCTCGAATTGGTGACTGCTCCATAGATAGCTGCTTGACGTCAAATGAAAGCCCTGTATCTCCTGTTGGTGATGGTTCACAGGCTGCTGCATTGAAGAAACGGGCACGCCCGGTGTTTGGCAACGGGGAGTCTCTGCATTTTGACAACTCCATGCGACAAGTGGAGTGGATGATGACCAACATTGGATGAGTTTCTGATGATTTATATATGAGTGATAAATCATCTGTTCTTTGCTTGTTTCATCGCATTGTGATTCTATCTTGTTGATCTAAGAGATCAGCTTACCTTGCAACAGTCTTATGCATGCCCTTTGTAAATTACTTAGGAAGATTGATTTGGGAGTACTTGAATTTCAAGGTGCCTCCTCCTGTACTTTGACTTCTAAATACCTTTAACTGACCTTGCTGACAAATTTCTTGCTGAATGCAGTTGCTAAGAAACAGATTTCCCACATTTTAGATGTTATCTGTGCTTTCTTAAGAACATTTGGATGCAATATTGAAATGGATTTGAGGAGAAAAATCATTTGCCTAAGAGTGGTTGCTCCTGCAACAAGTTTTTCATTTATTGATCAATATATCTGTAGTAGCTTCGTGCTTAATCATTCTACATTATATACAAGATCGAAATATACAACAATTCTCTGCGTCAAGAGTAATCACCAAGAAATTATTTTGTGTCAATCTGTAACTGTTACAGTTCTAGCTTCTGTTTCTTTTTTTTTTTTTTTTTCCCTCTTGCCGTCAAGATGTACATTGCATATTAACCCATGTATCAACTATAACCCTTTTATTCCCTCACTTTTATTATTCAAACCAACAAATATCGGCATTCTGAAATGATATTCCGAATGATAGAACAAGGGTAGAAGGGCCTAAACTTGACTTGGATAATAGCCATGTTAGACTTTCACGAAAGATATTTTACATTTTTGGATTTCATGAATCTCTTTTTAATCAACGATATATGACCTTTCAAACATGTTGATTTCAATAATTCTACTTCGTTGTCTTTCACTATCGACTTTTGCAGGTGAGAAGTGGTTTTCATCATTGTCTAGCATGTATCAATCTGTAAACAGGGTGGAGATTAATTTAGCCTAGGGGCCTTGCTCAAACCTGATCACAATTATATGACTAAAATGAAATGCACCCTCTCATATGTGCTCTTGTGTGTGTGTTTTTCTTTTTTTCCCTTTGGGGCAAAAGAAATCTGAAGTCTAGTATCTTGTTTAAATTGTAACTAACTTGAAAGATGACTCATGTTCGTACTAAAATTAAGTAATAGAAGTGCATGGAAAGCTTTTTGACATGAAAAGGGAAAATATTTAATGCAGTGTCAAGTTGACATTTGAGGTTTTCGTGGAAGAGGGGGTCTGAAAGTCGAAAATGAATTCATGATGATGTATGTAGAGAAATGTTGGAAGCATTAGTCAATGCCAATGGGCAAAATTCTGGAATGGAAATCTACAGTTTCCTTATCAAATTGACACCAAGAAATGGAATTTAAAGTTAAACTATCCATAAATAAAAGCTTGTTCAAACTCTTTCAGGTTGATGAAGTTGGCAGAGGAGAGGAAAGAAAGTGAGGAAGGCTTGTAGTCAAAGCTATGATGGCATATCCACTTGGGGAAGCGAGAGAGAGAGAGAGAGAGAGAGAGAACGAGAATTTTCCATTCAAAGATATGATGACGATGGTATATATACTTTACTTTTCCATAACCCCATTCCCTCCTTCCCCACTGAACCCTTTGTTTTTCTTTCTTTATAGGACTAGTTTTGCAGCTTGTACCATTGATGGGTCCCTCTTCCCTTTCTATCATATACAGATAGATTCTAGGAGTTAAGCAGCAATTTCTTTCTTTGTTCTTCCAGACTCCAAACCCATGAAAGATTCACCAGGTATACCGCACCATTTCTTGTCTTTCTTGTTCAGGAGCATTGGATTTATTCCCAGTTTCTCAAACTGTACTACAACTTCAATATCATTATTCCTTTTATCGTTACATGTTTGTTAAAATGCATAAAGGAATTCAACTTGTGTATAGCATAATCTCACAGTTTCGGCCTTTTGTATAAAGGAACAAGCTAGGATATTTGGTACTTCTGTCATGTTAAAGTGCAATAAGAGTAATGGCTCCTTATACATTACAAGATTAAATATGTAAAGTAGAATAAGCTTTATCAGCTGTGGTTTTATAAGAATCTTTACTGACTGTATTAATGGGAATGCCTCAATGTTGTTGACTCCTTTCTTGTTCCAGAGTAATCCATTTTTTGGTGTGGATTTATGCATTTACTAGTTCTAGCTTCTTTACTTTATGCATCAACGAATTATGGGTTCGAGCCTCTAAATCGTAATTTGCTGCTAAAGATGAAGATATTAAAGAACTTTACTGCTAATCCTTGAAGATGAATACAAATTTTTTGTTTGGCAAGAGCACTACAGGCGTCTGACATCAATTTCTATCTGTTCTCTTGCGCTTCCCAGCAACATATTTTCTCCTTTGTTATATTTCTTTAATTTGCTATTGCTGCTTTGGTTTCATGGGTTGGAGTCCATATACTCACTCTTCATTCCTTCACAAAATTACTCTGCTGACTATGTTACAACCATTTGAGAGCAAAAAGACGTACGAGGCATGATCGGTTGTTTTTTAGGAGATTTCCATTGCCACATTAGTTCTGTTTAATATGACGAAGACAGGTAGGTGTTCATTAACTTCAGCATATGAATGGTAGGTTCCTGATACAACCTTCGGTTATTATCTTGAATTATGAAAGGTCTTTCGTTTCCTTGTTACATGCTTGGAATCTGATTGAAATATTCCACGATATAGAAAAAAGAAATAAAGATACTTAACTGGAGTATTGGGAAACCTGTACAGTAACGTGATGGCAAGCAATTAATTCTGTTTGCCAATTTCTTGAATTGCTTAGAAGTGTTATCACTATCTGACTGCTTCGGACAACAACCACCATCGAACTAACTTAAAAAGTTATGTTTAGTATTGCTGGCAAGATATTCCATTATAAGTTTGCGCTGATGACATGTGCTTCTGCATTCAGGGGTGATTAATATTCTGAGATATTTCACTTATAATCATATAGATGAACATGATTTCCATTAATTTGTGTGTTATTTGAACGATAACGTTACGATTTCATGTTGACGATCAGATGACCTTATTTGTTATGTTTTAATCAACAGTTAATGATTTACCTACTGCTGGCTATCTTGAAGGCACCTTTCGCCGTTATGCTGATCTGAAGCTGTTGTCAGGTAAGGTGGTAGGGATGTTCTGTTGTCATAAACCACAAAGCAAGTATGAGAGGCTGGATCGTAAGCTTGAAAAGAGGATGATTGAGATTAAGAAAAGTGCCTCAGGACAAAGCAACTTCAGATCAATCAATAGCATAATCATGAAATTCCCCCAGTTCAAAGAGGGATTGAAAGAGATAAGAGACATTTTCCGACAGTACGGTGAGTCTTTTTTGTGTCTGGAAGTTTTTAATTTGAAACTGAAAGCCTTAAGGACACTGAAATCTCTCTCTCTCTCTCTCTCGATTTCTTGAATCATCAATGCAGATGAAGATAACAATGCAACCATTGAACGTGAAGAACTAAAAAAATGCTCTCAGGAATTGCAGTTAACAATCAGAGAGGAGGAAATTGATGATCTTTTCTACTATTGTGATATAAATGAAAATGAAGGCATACAACTCAATGAGTTTATTGTTCTTCTGTGTCTCATATATTTCCTAACGGATTATTCCATCCCTTCTCATACTGTATATTTATCAACATCACCTTCGTTTTTCACAATTTTGAATGTTCTTTTATCCTTTTGTGAACAAATGTAGTCCCTCACAGTTGAATTTTGTTTCAGGCATCAGATATTCTTTCGCCACAGCTTCAAGCTACTTTTAATATTATAATTGAAGCATTCTTGTTCCTTGATAAAAATGGCAAAGGGAAATTGAACAGGAAAGATGTTGTCCAGGCACTGAATGAGGCTTCTTCTTTGGAGAGATCACCCTCTCACGTGACTCACACTCGATTCAGTATATTCATACTCTCTAATGTTATTTATATCATTGATCAGCCAGCAAGTAGGGCCATGTTTTAGAGTTCATGTGATCCTATTAATGATTGCAGAAGAAATGGACTGGAACAGAAAAGGCAAGGTTGGCTTCAGGGAGTTTCTCTTTGCTTTCATCGACTGGGTTGGAATGGACTCAGATGATGAAGCTATTGAGATAGAAAATTAGCTGGATCCAGATCTGCAAGGCAGAAAGCAAGATACAATCTGCAGGAGGTCAGAGTTGATTGATGTGTACACGTGACATAAAGCGCGTTGCATATCAGTGTGCATAAGTGGCCAATTACACGTACGTTTATTACTTTCAGCTGAAAAAGCTGAAATCTCACTTCTGTTTCATACTTTTGTGTGTTTTGCTGTTTCTTTCCCCATAAGATTTCTTAAGATCTGTAGTCTATACTTTGTATCAATGAATTGAACTGTTTCCCGGTGTTTATTTGTTTCCATTCTTTGCATGTGATATGGACTATTGATAGCAGCTGGAAAACGTCAATGTTATCTATGCTAAAGATTGTAGCGTTCTGCACCCTTAATGGTAAAACACATTACAACTCCCTTCAGATGACGTTAAAGAATAAAAGGCAAAAGATAATTAATTTTACAACACAGGTTGCGGTAAATATAAGCATATCTAATTGTTTACATTATAGGCAAGTTTCATTGTATGCTAAGAGCTTGAATTCTTCTAATAAGTGACAAAGAAGATGCATTTCTTTGTTTCCATTGTTCTATTTCCTCCTCCTTGCGCCAATTGTCCGTCAACCATTGATCATGACCATCAAGTATGCTTACTATCTGCCTCATGCTTGGTCTTGATTCTGGGTTGGAGCTGGTGCATGCCATGCCTAATTTGATCAGCCTCAACAATTCCCTGCGGTTGTACTTTCCATCTAACCTCATGTCTGCCAGTTCTTCATATGGTCTTTTCTGCGCCTCAAATTCTTGAATTCTTCTCACTAGTAGCACCTCGGGCCTCCTAAAATCAACTGCCATCTGCCCACATACCACCTCAAGCAACACTACACCAAAGCTATAAACATCAGCCATTGTAGTTGCTTCTCCAGATTTAATATAATCTGGTGACATGTATCCAAAGATTCCACAAGCTGATCTCTTCTTGTCAATAACGACATGATGGCCATGTTCATTCCGTGTCAAGAATTCAGCTAGAGCAAAACAACCGAGTCTAGGATTCATGTCTGCATCCAGAGCTACGGCAGAAGATGTGATGCTTCTGTGAATAACCTGCTCATCCCATTCTTCATGGAGGTACCGAATGGCAGAAGCAAGCGATTTGATTATGCTATATCGATGATGCCATTGCAAGATTCTGCTTGTATGATGGAATAAGACATGACTTAGGAGGCATTTTGCAGAATAATCATACACAACAAGCATCTCCCCTTGTTCAGTGCACCATCCACGAAGCTGTACCAGATTTCTGTGGCGAAGCCTTCCCAAGGTTTGGAGTTCATTTGAGAATCTTACTCGCAATGCAGGACATGTCTTCATGCCAAGCCTCTTCACCAGAACGTGGTAATGATTGTCAAGGAAACCATGATAGGCTGTTCCAAAGTCAAGCTCAGCTACTCTCCGTGAATCTGCAAAATTGTTTGTGGCAGCAATGATTTCCTTGTATGTTATCACCCTTGGAGTTTCAACCACCGGGAAAGTACATGGCGGAGGGTGGCTACTATGTGAAGAGACAATATTACTGTTCTCAACCTCTGCTGTTACGTACATGGTTTCTCCAGTGGCTGTGACAAAGTTTGATGAGTTTAGAGCAGAAGTGCTGATGCTGGTTGTGGATCTTGTTGTAGAAGACCCTGTTGTGATCGTGTAGCTAGAACTGCTGTTGCTTGGAGACGACAAAGATATGTAAAGGGGGTGACTCTTGAATGAAGGAAGATCTGGTAATTTACCATATATGTTGCCAGAAAGTACATCCACAGCCCATTTCATGTTAGGCCGCGATTGAGGATCATGAAGTGTGCAGAGAAGTCCAACATGTATCATTTGTTCCATGTCTGAAAGCTTGAAAGACCCATCTGGGAGCCTAGTATCCCCTGCTTGTAGAAGTATTCCTTCATCGGAGAGCTTCCTGGTCCAATCAAGCAAGATGATCTGATCATCCGGATATGTGAGATCAACAGCACGCCTTCCTGAAACAACCTCCAGGACCACAATTCCAAAGCTGAATACATCTGATTTTGCAGTGGCGAAACTTCTCTTCTGGAAGCTCTCCGGTGGCAAATAGCCAATGGTTCCACCAATTCTGGTTGTTTCTGCTAGCCGAAATTGTTGATTCTTCATTGAAGGTGTCCTTGATTGGTACTCAATCTTATGTTCTAGCCACCTAGCCAAGCCAAAGTCACCAAGACGGGCATTAAAATGTGAATCAAGCATCACATTACTCGTCTTCACATCTCTGTGTATGATCTGAGTCTCCAATTGTTCATGGAGGTAAAACAACGCAGCAGCCAAGCCATTGACTATCTTCTTCCTACGCTCCCAATCAAGAGGTGATGAACCATTCTTCTCAGGCCTTTTAAAGAGTATTCTGTCAAGACTTCGGTTAGGCATGTAGTCATAGACAAGAAACAACTGATCATCATGAACACACCATCCCCTGAGCTTTACAAGGTTCCTGTGGCGAAGATGAGCAACGGCTACCAATTCTGCAGCAAATGTCTTCTCGAATTGCTCGCCTCTCTCAGCCAAGCATTTAACGGCTACTGTTGTTCCATCACTGGGTAAAACTGCTCTATAGACTTTGCCAAAGCCTCCACTTCCGAGTATTTCATCTTCACTAAATCCTTTGGACCCTATGTAGAGCTCAGAATAGCTAAATATTCTGGCATTTTCGCCCCCTACTTCCTCAGACATCTTCACTCCTGCCATATCCTGGAACAACATACCAGAGAAATGCTTCTCTGGGGCTTCTTGGTGGCAGAAGTTGATCCATTTTGAGTCAAAGAATCGATGCACTGATGTACGAAGGAGATTCACAACTTGTGAGCCACAGTGACGAGGAGACGGTTGTTTTTCCTTTGTTTTCTGGACTTTTTTGTGATCAATTGGTTCAATTTCATCAACATCTGCTGGCAGAATGAAGCAAAGGCGGTTCAGATGCATGGTTCAGCTGATATTGATGAGATGTTTAATGGCTTGAATTGCAAAAGTTGGACATGGATAGAGGGAATGCAGATAAGAGTAGTGAAGGTTCCAACAATGAACAAAAGCAGGTTCTTGTATGAAAGTTTTGAACCTGGTTATGTATTTGGTGGCTTATATTCAAACATGGTTAGGTTGCATGTTTGAATTGTATGCCTATGAAGATAAAACTGGCCAACAAGAACCAACCCCTGTATGATGTTTGCTACAGAAAATTCTGATTCTTTAGTTGATTTGGTTTTCTGGAAACACATCATGGATCACATCATCCATATCAGTTGTTCACACTTTTAAGAGGGCTAATTTTTCCATAGCCGCTTTTTTAAATTTCATACCGCGTTGAGGGTTTTACCTTTATGTTTCTCTAGAAACAACAGAAAGAGGTGGGGACTCAAAACTTTGGCTGTATATGGATATTTAGCTCATCTGCAATGACCTCGGATTGACTTCTGCTTTCCTGTGCATGGCCATAGGAATTATTTTGGACATAAACATTTATTATTTCTGAAAGATCCAAGTTCTAGGTAAGCAAAATTCTTATATATATTTGGGGAATGTATAGATCCACAATCAAACTTTTAAAACCCCTAAATACTCTGGAGGATCTTATTTTATCTTAACAGAGTAGATTTCTTATAAGAATTTTTGCAACCCGTGTCTTTCTTTTTCTTCTAACGCGTATGTTAGAACACTCGTTTAATATTTAATTCACAAAACATTTTCATCTTGGTGTACACATTTATATTTATCGCCTTCTTTAAAAATTAAACACTTTTCAAAGAACCCTACATAATTGAACCTTAATACCAATCAATCGTTGCACAAACACTTGCACAAAAAGAACAAAAGCAATGGTCTTGCATACTCATTTAAAGAAAACAACTGAACCGGTTTCAATTATCTACAACACTAGTTTAAACCTTATCTTTGAATAACTTGCATAGAAAATTCTGGGATGTGTATCAAATATTCAAATATGGCTTCCATACATTAGTCCCACAATTTTAATGCACAAGAAATGTGGTCCCTGAATGTTACTAATAAGCAGTGGCATAATTTTGCAGCCAGCTTTGCTGTCAGTTTTGGTTTCCTAATCGTTTGAAGATCAATAATTTCTACAAGCTGATAGAAGAAAAAAAAGGCAAACAAATGCACATGAAACAAGTTTCTAGGCATCACTAAAAGGGAGAAAATCCTCATTGGAAACTATCCTAACGTGTGAAACCTTTCATACTTCTCAAAGTTGCTACCTAGAGAGCAAAGGCATGTGATATCTAAAGGATCCCCACCAAAGAAAACCCTTAGATTTTGAGCTTAAGATTTTATCAACCTTTAGGGTTTAAAGGGAAATTAAAGGTGTAAATTTGAGGGCAATAGGACTTTGCAAGAAGAAATGTAAATGAACCAAAATATATTAATATAATTAAAGAAGGTAAAATAATAAAAATAAAACAAGATTTTCCTTTTCTGTGCACCACCAGATAATCTAAGTTTATTCCTTGTTTGAGTTGAGCCTAAATAGTTAACTGCTCCAGAATGTTTGTTGACCTTCATGACACAAATCTTGAATGGTTATGAATAACCTATGTATTAATTGATGTTTTTATAGTCTAGTGCGAGTTACTACTATTTACTTTATGTTTTGGTTGGTTGTTTGGTTTTGTCAAAAGGTATGAATTCATTAAGCAAAATGTCTCATTTCATACTCCTATGAAGTAATTCAGCATAAATTAGGTAAGATCTCACAATAGAGCAACCCTTTTGGCCAGAGTTCATTTTTACTCTTCTTTGAATCAAACATTGCAGATTAAGATCCCATCTGGATTGCTTTTTTATGAAGTTTTTATAGAAAAATACTACTGTATTGATCTGAATAATACATCCAAGAACTATTTGGTAGCTGTTGCTGTCGAATGGACTTCTACACCTAAAACAGCTCAAGAAATTTGCACAAGGACATAAGGACAATGACAGCTTGATGACAAGTGACAAAGATTAACAATATTGCTTACTACAGCCTAAGTGATAGAATTGTTATGTGACCTAAAATTATTGACAATCATTCATGGCGCAAGTTTAGGCGCAAAATCACTCAAAATTGTGGTGGGGAAGCACAAAGAGACACAAAACAATTTGGAAAAAGACAGATTGTATTACAGATTTGAATTATAATTCCCTACATGAAATGTTTTAACAAGTGTTTGATGTGCACTGTTTAAGAGGACAATCATGTAACATGATTCCACAATCTAAATGGGTT